ATGTTAAATCCTTTCGTTCATTCTGATCTCATTCGAGGATTCTCACTAGCCATGCAAGTATGGTTGTATGAGTATTGCTCCTCCGTCAACACTGATATAGCTATAAGGATTTCTAATTCAATCCCTCGCATACTTAACTGGTCAGCTAGTAAGGGTCAGATTTGGTTAGCTGCAATTGAAGACAAAATGATCAAGCCTGAATGGATGAAGGTAAATGGTTCTTATTTATGATTATACAATTTACCTACAAAATATCTACAATTTATATACATATTCTGCCTTAATCAAGATAATTTATCTTTTTCATCATTTAGTTCACCAACATAATTGAATCACCTGAAGAGCTTTCAGTGATGTCTTTGCCTGATAAAGTTGAGTACATAATTGAAGAGGTTGAACATGTTTCTGAGGATCCCAAAGTTGATGCTCCTCCATTGGAACCCAAACAATCAATTGGAAAAGAGGAAAAAAAGTCTATTCTTCGTAAAATAAGAAAGTTAAAAAGAGGTCTTGAGAAGGTAACATGTATTCCTAAATAGCATTGTGATGTATATATAATAGTGCATCTGTTATTTAATGTATGTTAAGACATATTCTGAAGTTAACTATGTATTTTTTTATTATGTAGGTCGATGAAAAACTTGAAGATTTTAGGCAAGATGTATTTGAAGAACTAGGTAGCCTTCGAGTCCTAATAAAGGAGTCAGTCAAGACTGTTTTGCAGGTGATAAACAGTCTAAATGATCAAGTTGATGCAAAGGTAACATTTGAATTTTATTCATATTAACAAAACGATTTATGTCACCTCTAAAATATATATCCTAACTAATATAAATCTTTTAGTTTGCTGGGAGTTCAACCAAAAATACTGACCAACCAAAAGACATGAACAATCAGCAATTTCAGTTCGATAGTGGAGTACCCGTGCAGGTCAGCCCCAGCAAAGCAGGTATCTACAAAATAACTCCACCTTATCTACAATTATCTACAGAATATCTACAAAGTATCTAAAAGTTATCTACAACATTTCTACAATTTGTCTACATTATATATATAAAATATATACAAATAAATACATCATATTGGCACAGCTCTACATATTTATGTAGATCTTACAACACACCTACATATCTTCTTAAACTGTCAAGATTTATCCAGTATGATTTAACATTTTTAATGAAAAAAACAGAACATGCTGAAGGTGCACTTGGTGAAGAGGTTCATCCAGCACGTGTTGATTTATATGCACATTTTGAAGGTGCAATTGATGAAGAGAATGCATGTATGAAATTTTATTCACAGATATTTGCTTTATGTTTCAATATTTTTACCATTCTATTAATCTAGACAGATAAGGTGTTACAGAGAGGGAAGATATGCATGCATAATCTCCAATTTACGGAGTGACAGTAGCAGCTCAAAGTGAACAGCACAATGAGGAAGATGACAATGTAGGTGAAGAGGCAGAGTATGCGAATGTAGGTGATTCAGAAGAATCCGGTGATGAGAAGAAGGAGGTTACACTTGATGATTTCGAACTGCCTGATAACTTCTCCCAGTTGGTTAAGTTCGGCGAGCCTATACAAGATGAAACAATACCCGTGCATCAAGGTAGAACAAGGCAGCCGGGAAAGCATGCCCGATCACCATTTCTCCCTTTATACAGTTCTGGTTGCAGCACCTCGGTTGGACCTCAAACTTTTCACCTCAAGCACCCATTTACTAGTGTTATTGGTGAAGATGTAGATCCTGAGTTGGTAGATCAATTCCCGAAGTGGTTATACCACGGTACCGAAAAAGGTTCAAAGAGGTTAGTTTGCACAATTTGACACTTTTATTCCAGTATTCATCTTTTACATATCCACTTCATTCAACAATTTTTTTTTAATTTCTATTTGTTTATATAGGAGGAAGGCTCCGTATTCTATAAAGGACAACCAAATTAAGCCATGGTTGGATCTTGGAGTGGGAAAGGTTGACAAGAAGGAGTGGTTCTTTTCTCTGGCACACCCAGGACAAGTCCTTAATGACTCGGTAAGATTCAATGTATTTGATTTGTAGATATTTTGTAGATAATTTGTTGTCTTAGTGTTGATGCTTTGTATTCTGACTGTAGATGAATTGTAGTTATTTTGTAGTTTTGTATAGATTATTTGAAGCTAACTTGTAGTATCAATGCAATCTGTTTTTGTTGCAGCACATTAATGTTATAATGTATTACTTGAGGAAAAGAGGCAAGTATGGCCCCCACAACAAAACCAGGTTTACTACAACAGATTATTTGTTCAAGACTAGGATTGAACAAATCTATGAAAAGTTCCAAAATTCTCCTCAAGAAAAGAAGTTTTCTGTTGTCAAACCCCATGACGTTGTAGTAGAATATATATTGGGGTATAGACTACTCGCAAATGTTGCATGGGATGAAGTTGATTATGTCATCATGCCCGTCAATATTGTAGAAAAATTCCACTGGGTGTTGGTTGTTTTTGACATTGCAGAAAGGCAACTTTATGCGTATGATTCCATGGTCTCTTCACGCAATCACCCTATTGTTGAATCTTGTGTCGACAAGTTTTCTGTTATTATCCCTTTGTATTTGTCATGCACTGATTTTTATGGGAAGCGTAAAGACATCAACTTCAAGAATACAAAGGCATACATTGAGAAACCTGTTACCGACCCTCTTAACATTCAGTGGATCGTCGGAGAGATACCACAGCAAAAAGAAGGATCACTGTAACAAAATCTTCTTTCTTTCTTTACATTTAACCCTTTTTTTTCCTGATGGTTTAGTAAATATTGACATTTTTTATCTTTGCAGCGATTGTGGTGTATTTGTTGCTGCCTTTGTAGAGTATGTTAATCTTGGAGAGTTATCAATTCCGGCAGAAGACCTTTCTGATATTGACCAACACCGTAGACGCTATGGAGCGCTACTTTGGGACTATGCTAGAAAGAAGCAGGAGCATGGGGCAATTAGTGAAAGTGAGGTGACATACAAATTGGCTAGGAGAAAAGGTGCACCAGCTTTGAATGAGAAAACACGAGTCCAGAGAAAGAAGAAGTAGTTGTAATCTTTTGTATGGAACATGTAGTACAATTGTTTAGTTGATGCTAGTTTATAAGAAAGATGGTAGACAAGTTTTTGAACAATTTATTCTGTTTTAATTGTAGCAGACTTGCGCTACAATTATAGTAGCCTTTGTTTTTTTTTTTTTTTATCTAGTATTGTAGTTCAAATGGAAACATTCTGTTGGGTTTATATTCACTTGTTGAATCTTTACAGTACTTGATCTTCATTATTTGTAGCATATAAATCCTTTCCAACTGAATTTTTATACAGTTATTATGTCAACAAAAAATATGTAGTTATTATATTGTTTTTTTGTAGATAATGTGTAAACATCAGTAACTAACCATTTTGTTGCTTTTAAATTCAATTTGTTGAATGTATAAAGTACCTCATATACATTACTTTCACCATATAGGTTGTTTCTACCTGAATTTTAATTTAGCTATTATGTCAGTTACAAATATTGTAGACTTTTTTGTAGTTATATTTGTATATAACTTGTAGATATATTTAACAGTGTGTTTTGTTTCTTTTATGTTCATTTTTTGAATTTAAACAATACTTCATCTATAATATTTTAAGTTTTTAACTACTTTCCTACTGATTTATAATGTATAAACTCTGTAAATTCCAGATAACGTATTTTTTTGTAGTTTTATTGTAGATAAACTGCAAAAACACATTAACAGAGGGAATATTGGTTCTCAAATTTCTATATCTACATAAAACTACAAAAAAATATAGAAACTATTCATAAACAAATCAATCTATGAAAGTATTGTCTCAATACAGAAAAATCCTAAGTAACTACATTATGATCTTACAAAACACCAACAATTACACATCAAAATCTGTTATCCAGAACTAACCAACAAATTTTATGAAATATTCTGTTAACTACATAAAATTTTATTTCTTTTTGGGTGCATTTTTGCAAGATCTTTTGTTATGCCCTTCTCCTCCGCAGTTTCCGCGTGAAACCTTGTACTTCTTTGAATTTATTTCATCATATGTTTTGTATCTTTCTTTTTGAGGTCTTCCTGGCTGCCTTTTCCCTCCTTTNATGCTAGTTTTAGAAGAAAGATGTTAGATAAGTTTTTGAACAATTTTTGTTGTTTTAATTGTAGCAGACTTGCGCTACAATTATAGTAGCCTTTGTTTTTTTTTTCTTATCCAGTATAGTGGTTCAAATGGAAATATTCTGTTGGTTTTATATTCACTTGTTGAATCTTTACAGTACTTGATCTTCATTATTTTTAGCATATAAATCCTTTCCAACTGAATTTTTATACAGTTATTCTGTCAACGCAAAAATATGTAGTTATTTTGTTATTTTTTTGTAGATAAAGTGTAAAAATCAGTAACTAAACATACTGTTGCTTTTACATTCAATTTGTTGAATGTATAAAGTACCTGATCTATATTATTTTTAGCATATAGCTTCTTTCTAGCTGAATTATAATCTAGCTATTATGTCAGCTACAGCTATTGTAGTTTTTTTGTAGTTGTTTTGGGGATACTTTGTAGATAACATTTAACAATGCGTTTTGTTTATTTTATATTCATTTGTTGAATGTAAACAATACTTGATCTACAATATTTTGGTATATAAAACCTTTCCTACTTATTTATAATGTAGTTACTCTGTAAAGTCCAGTTAATGTATTTTTTTGTAGTTTTATTGTAGATAAATTGCAAAAATACATTAACAACTGTGTAAAGGATTCCAGAGATAGTAAAAAAGTGGTAGATTATATATATAGAAACCATTCATAAACAAATCACTCTATGAAAGTATTATCTCAATACAGAAAAATCCTAACTAACTACATTATGATCTTAAAAAACCTCAACAAGTACACATCAAATCTGTTATCCTTAACTCGCCAACAATTTTTATGAAATATTCTGTTAACTACATAAAATTTTATTTCTTTTTGGGTGCATTTTTGCAAGATCTTTTGTTATGCCCTTCTGCTCCGCAGTTGCCACATGAAACCTTGTACTTCTTTGAATTTATTTCATCATATGTTTTGTATCTTTCTTTTTGAGGTCTTCCTGGCTGCCTTTTCCCTCCTGTAGGTGGATTTACTACTTCTTCAGATATATGTTGTGGCACATTCCATTTGCTTTCATCAGGCAGGGGATTTACTGGTATTTCAAAAGACTCATCCCTGTGTCTTAAAGCAGCCAACGCATGTGGACAAGGAAGTTCGTCAAGCTGGAATTGCCCACAACTACATCTCTTGTTTTCAAGAAAAACAATATAGCGCCTCACACCATCTAGTACTGTATGGATGTAGTCTGTTGAAGCCCTCACCTATGATAACATTACAAACAGAAAAACAATTCATATACGGTTAAACTCAAGCTATATACAAAATATCTACATTGTCCTGTTTAAATTAATTTGATTCAATAAATGATTAGATCTTACTCTAAGCTTGTGCGACAATGTTCTATTCATCCAACTCTTTGTTGAATTTGAACCCAAGGTATGTGAATGTACCCTTTGCTTTCAATAACTTTTCCTTCGTCCAACGTTCAAGGAAGGTCCTCATATACTCTAATAGTTCTACTATCGACAGCTCTCTTGCATATTTTGTTACAGCATTCAACGACTCTGCAATGGTTGATGTCATAGTCCAAGTTCTGTTCACCGTAGCATGTACTCGAGACCATCTATGATAGTCAATATCGTATAAGTATGCTTTAACACAGGGGTCAATCTCTTCAATCTTTAACATCCTTTCATTAAATTCATCCAGCGTGTATGACCGTGCCTTGGCAAAGTATAATTCACTTAACTTTAGATGTCCCTTCTTGAACTTTGCCCGTATATTTGTCCAAATATGCCACATGCAAGAATAATGTGGCATGCCGGGATAAAAAATAGATGTTGCCTTCAAGATACTCTCATTCCGATCCGAAACAACACACATATTTGGTCTTTCACCATATGCATGTTTGAATTGCTCAAAAAACCACTTTCATGATGCGTCATTTTCTGAATCAACAACAGCATATGCCAATGGTAATATGGTACCTACTGTAACGATCCGACCGGTGGTTTTGAGCCCTAGCGTGTCGTTCAGCAGTTCAAGGCCATGAGCAGCTTCAATTCAGTCACTTTGACTTGTACGCGTGGTCGGAATTAAATTTCGGGAAGTTCGGAGCTGACTTGGAGAGGAAATTCTCATTTCAGAAGCTTTAAGTTGAAAGAATTAGCTAAGATCGGATTTTTGAGTAAACGACCTCGGAATCAGGATTCGAAGGTTCCAGCAGGTTCGTACGATGATTTCGGACTTGGGCGTATGTCCGGAGTCGGGTTTTGGATGACCCGGGAGCGTTTTGGCGCCTATTGTGGAAGTTGGCATTTTGGAAGAAATTTTATAAGTTTGGGTTGAAGTGCATTTTAGTGTTATCGATGTCCGTTTGGAATTCTGAGTCAGGGATTAGCTCCGTATGGTGATTCTGGAGTTGGGAGCGTGATCGGAAGTGAATTCGAAGGTCCGTGGGTCATTTTGGAGTCATTTGGCTAAAGATAGAAATTTGAAGGTTATTGAGAAGTTTGACCGGAAGTGGACTTTTTGATATTAGGGTCGGAATCCGATTCCGGAAGTTGGACTAGGTCCGTAATGTCGAATATGACTTGTGCGCAAAATTTGAAGTCAATCGGACGTGATTTGATAGGTTTAAACATCGAAAGTAGAAGTTTGAAATTCTAAGGTTCATAAAGCTTGGATTGGAGGTCGATTCGTGGTTTTTGCGTTGTTTGTTATGATTTGAAGCCTCGAGCAAGTGTGTAATGCGTTTTGGGACCGGTTGGTGTGATTGGTTGGGGTCCCGGGGGGCCTCGGGTGGATTCCGGGTGGTTAACGGATCGAAAATGGGATTGTTGGAAGGCTGAAGCTGCTGGTTGCTGGTGTAACCGCACCTGCGAGAAAAGGGCCATAGGTGCGGAGCCGCAGAAGCGGTCCAGTAGTCGCAGATACGGTTTGGCAAAAGAAAAGCTGGGACCGCAGATGCAGTCGTTTGGCCGCAGAAGCGGGACTGCATCTGCGGGAAAAGAAGCGCAGAAGCGGAAAATGGGAGCCTGGAGGAAACTGCGGAAGCGGTGGGCTGGCTCGCACCTGCGGAACCGCAGAAGCGGTCAAGGGATTGCAGGTGCGGAAAGTGCTGGAGGCAGAGAGGTGTTTTAAAAATCGGGATTTGGCCATTTCTCTCATATTTTTCTTGGCTTGGGGGATTTTTGGGAGAGCTTCAAGTGGGATTTTTCATCATCAACGATAAGGTAAGCTAATCCCATCCATCTTGAGTTAAATACATCGATTATGTATAGATTTTAGCATGTAAATTGGTAGAAATTTGGGGATTTGGTAGAAAGACCTAGAAATTTGTATTCTTGGAATTTGACCACGATTTTGGGTATGGAATTAAGAGAAAATCATATATTTGAGTTCATAGAGTCATGGGTAAGCTTAATCTTCAAAAAATTTCGGAATCCGGGCACGTGGGCCCGAGGGATTTTTGTCAACCTTTTGATCGGGGTTAGGAGTTTTTATCAATTGGATTAATATGAGTAGTTTATCGTATATTAATGGGTTTGCATAACTATTGGCTAGTTTTGGAGCGTTGTGCATCAATTTGAGTTTTCGGAAGGGCGTGAAATGCCGGTTATGAATCTTCGGAGCGAGGTCAGTCTCCTTTCTAACCTTGTGAGAGGGAATTGTCCCCATAGGTGAATTAATTGGTTATGTGCTCCTATTTGTGGGGGCTACGTACGCACGGGGTGACAAGAGTCTGTGCGTAGCTTCTAATATGTTATGGTCCGGGTAGTCTACGACTCAAAAGCATGCTGTACTTGGAAAACTTGTAATGTTATTGACAGTATGAATTGTTGAAATCCTATCGAATTGGTAAATAAATTTCTAAGAGGATTAATCTTTATTCCTTAAATCATTAAAAGAGAGTTGGCTTCTAATGGGATGAATATTCCCCGTAAAATTCTTAATTTGCTGTTGAGCATGTGTTTCTGTGTGTACCTACGTCGCATGTATGGTACGCGAGCAGGGTGATTGTTTATTTAAATTTGACCGCGTCGCATGTATGATTCGCGAGCGGGGTAATAGATGCATTTGTGGTTCGGGCCGCTCGACCCTCGGTAGTGCACATTTTAAATATTGTTGGATCGGGCCGTACGACCTCGGCATGAGTTGCGCATGCTTGTATTGCTTGCTTTGATATTTGTTGATACTAAAATTTGCTCTCCCGACTTGAGATAATTGTTAACTAAAGGATTATAAATCCGGAGTCTGTTAATAAAAAGGAACTTTTACCTGTTTAGTAAATTACTTGAATCTACCGTTGTTCTTAATAAATCCGTGAGTCATCGCGTTAATATTACTATTACTGGACCTTTAGTGAGTGTCGAAGTTGCAATCTCGTCTCTACTTCTTCGAGATTAGGCGGGATACTTACTGAGTACACGTTGTTTACGTACTCATACTACACTTCTGTGCATTTTTGTTACACAGGCACATGTACTTCTAGCGGCCTACAGGCGTAGCAGCATGGATGATACCGGGACTAGGTGAGTTGCATTACTCGAGGCGGCCCGCGGCTAGTATAGTCCCTTCCAGTATATTGTATTTACTTTCTGTCCATTTGTATTCCGGACGGATGTTATATTGTATTATCTCTTAGAAATGGCTCATGCACTTGTGACGCTGGGTTCTGGGGATGTCTATGGGTTTATTTAGAAATTTAAAATTGTTAAATGTTTCATCAATTATTCAGTGGAATTTATCACGTATTGTTTAAACGCATAAAAGAAGTGATTTCAGAAATATTTAAAACGAGAAGTTACTAGTTATTTGTTGTTGGCTTGCGTGACAGTGGAGTCCAGCGCCATCACGACCCTTAGTGGATTTTGGGTCGTGACAACATGGTATCAGAGCACTAGGTTCCTAGGGTCTTACGAGTCATGAGCAAGTCTAGTAGAGTCTCGCGGATCGGTACGGAGACGTCTGTACTTATCTTCGGGAGGCTGCAAGACTGTTAGGAGTACTTCCCTTCTTGATTCCTCATCGTGCGATTTGATTCCTGGAGGCTTATGCCCCTGTTTCCTTCCTACTCAATCCTACGCGACACGAACAACTTGTTAAAAATTTAGAATGGAAGGATTGTAATGGTACTACCGAGGTGGTGCGGGATATTTCTCCCTACATAGTTGTTAAGCTATTATCGTCGCTTTATGGAAGGATATTCTGTCGTTTCAGCTCAGTAGCGGTACTTCTGGGAGCTCTGAGGCTAGGCACAAGTTGCCATGATGCTATGAACGATTGTTCCGCGGTATTGATATGAGGGTAGGATGTTTGCCTTCGTGTCGGGGCAGAGAATGACTTGAAGGGAGGTTTACTCAGTGCATGATTCAGAGATTCGGTATTTTACTTCTGGCGGAGGAAAGTCAATCGGACTAAGAATGTGCAGGTTGGGGTTGATGGAGTAATGAGATTTGGTATTTGCGAGCGTGGTAGAGTTTTCTTTATGATGAGGTGTAGTTGTCCCTATTGAATGTACTGGGTTCGCCAGTGTTATGATCTTCTACAATTTGACTTTGGGGTAAGATATTGTGAAATAGTATTGAAGATGTGGCTGTTAGATATCGCGGGGTGCAGTAGTGCAGGATTGAACCAGTGCTCCTAATGTCGACGGTTCGAGGAAGATGATCTTCGGAAAGGTTTAAGATTAGCAGCAATTGTGGGTTCAAGTGCCACGAAGATAGATTTTATTTAAGGCTACAACCGTGCAGCAAAGGATGAGGAAGGACACGTGGGGAGTGTCAGGCGGTGGTTAAAATTTTTAGAAGGCCAGGTATAAGAAGCAAAGGTCGAGTAGTCGACTAAAGGGGTGAGTTTCGCCAAAGTGGGAGAGTTTGGAGTGATTTGGGAATTTTAGAGATTGGTAATTTGGGCCTACGGATTAATTTGGAGTACGGGCTATTAGGCGGCAGGAGATTTGATATAACGGAAAGGAGCTGCTAGAAATGGAGAAGGATGCAACCTAACTTTGAAGGGGAAGGATGTTGCCCCGCACTTAATTGATGTCCACGAGGGGTGAATGGACTCGTGCAGCTAGAGGGTGAGCTTGGACTCAGGATAGGTCATTAATGTCATGGTGTTTGCACCCCGTGTAGCGGTGTTGGAAGACGTCGGCACGTAGATCCCACAGGCGGGATATCCCCAGTGAGCGGGACGGCGGTCGCATGGTTGGCGAAGTTTCTGCAAAGGGTTCTGTTGGCTATACAGCAAGGAGATCGGTCGTGTGAACGTGGTTGATGATTCAGAGTATAAAAAGGAGTTTTACAGATATATTTTCGAGAATTTTTGCGGTTGATTGCGCAAGGTTATGTCAACAAGAGATAAAGGATCCTGGTGAATTCCAGAATTTATGTAATAATGGTGTTAGGCTAAGTGGGAGAGTCCCACCGCCTATGATTAAGGATTGCCCGGTTAACTACTTGTGAGGTTTCTGATTATCAGCATATTGATGGGTTATATCAGCTACAGAAAAGGAACATAAGTGGTAAATTGAGCAAAAGAATTGTTAAAGGTGTGCTATGGTTGGCCTTATTGGCCCATGTTCAGACTTGGGGAAGGATTCAGGATTTATGCCTTGTATAGATGTGGGTTTCAAGGGATGTGATTCTGTCGGGTGCTTCGCCGAGAGGGTATTCATTTGGTAG